GGGGGGGGGGGGGGGGGGGGGGGGGGGGGGGCGTTAGGAAAGAAAAAAACAGCGTTAGTTTCCCAAGGCACGAGGGGAAGTACTGGATAAATGGTGGGAGTCATTTCCGTCCTCATGGGAGGTCCAGCTCTCGGCCTGCAAGTCCCTTCAGACAGGAGCTCCTGCGCGAGGCGTTGTCTTACCTTCAGGAGCTCTCTGTTGGAAAGAACCTTGCTTCCCACCTCAGGAAGGGGGTCCTGGCCTATCCCTCAAAGAAAGTTCCTCCGGGATAGAGCGGTCTCCTGCTTCAGACTGCACGTTCCCGGCCCAAGCACTGTCTCCCTTCAGACCCATGCTTCCAGAGCCGGAATGTCTCCCTTCTTTGAGGGTGCCAGGCGCATTCCCGAAACCAGCGAGAAAACTTAAAGCTAAGGTAGACAAAGCGCGAGATCGAGCCAGAGCCACCACCACGCGCCTGCAGGTTCTCTGCGCATGCTCAAGAGTAACCCCCTAAACTCAACCTCAGGCCAGCGCAGATAGTCGTAAAACTGAGGTCAACCGCAATGACTTCTGGACGCTGTAGTCCTACGTGTGGATTGGCTGCCTGATTACGGAGCTTCCTCGTGATTGGATGTCCCAAGACAGCGACTTATTAGTCAGACTGGCAGTTGAGTTGGAATTGGATGGCGGAGGTAACCTGTCCAGTAAGCCTCAGAGCCGCTCCCTCTCAACTTGCACCTCCGGCTGTGCCTAATGACACTATTGAATTGACACTTCGTGGGCACAGTCAACGGATAAAAACTGGTGAGTCACAGACTCCTACGTGGTAATTCTGGCTAAGACGCACGTGGACATACTGGATACCAAGAGAGGTCGGACCTCCTGGGGAGTGGGTTGAAGCTCTGAGACGGAGAGGCCAGGAAACCCGACTTGCCCAGGATCAAGACACCTGCTAGCGGGAAAGCCCACATGAGGTACAGGACTATCATCACCTCTAATTTTGGCCACTTTGGCGGACACCCTCAGGCACCCAGCAGACCGCAATGTTACCCTCCACCCACTACCCAGGGCTGACCTTGGGCAGAAGAGCCACATTCAGATATTTGTTGCATCGGGATCAACGGGCCAGGGTGGAATGGAGAGAGAGAGAACCTTTCAGGAAGGGCCGGGCTTGCCAGGGCTCCTGTACATGGGCTGCTCTGTCCCCAAGCCTGCTGGTGGCCACCCAGCAAGAGCCTGTCTGGCACCTTTGCTTATTTCCTCAACTGGTTCTGAACTCAGAGGAGGAGAAGCAGGATTATTTATCACTTCCCAACCCACACACAAGCACACTCAAATACGCACACTATCACTCTGACCAAACCTAATCCAACCTATCAGCCCACAAAACTTTAAGAGCTCAGCTGTCTGGTCGTACAGTCATTCCCCCCCCCCCCCCCCCCCCCCCCCCCCCCCCCCCCCCCCCCCCCCCCCCCCCCCCCCCCCCCCCCCCCCCCCCCCCCCCCCCCCCCCCCCCCCCCCCCCCCCCCCCCCCCCCCCCCCCCCCCCCCCCCCCCCCCCCCCCCCCCCCCCCCCCCCCCCCCCCCCCCCCCCCCCCCCCCCCCCCCCGTTAGACTTGGTCTGCAGCCAAGATGCCTGGAAACTTCCAAACTGGCCTTGCTATGGGTTGAATCTTTGTTCCTTCCAAAGCTCATGTAGGAGCTCCAATATGGTATTTGAAAGGGGGGCCTTTAAAAGGTGATTGGATCCTGAGGACTATGCCCTTGTGGATTAATCCATTAAAGGACTAATGGGTTAATGGTTTAAGGGGTTATCAGGGAATAGACTGACGGCTTTATAAGGAGAGCAAGTGAGCACTAAAAAGGCTGTTGCCCTCCTTCCCATGTGATTCCCTGAACTCTGTAGAGACTCCCCATCAAGAAGGCCCTCACCAGATGTGTCCCCTGGACCTTGTATTTTCCAGCTTCCAAAACTGTAAGAAATAAATTTAATTTCTTTATAAATTACCCAGTCTCAGATCTTCTGTTACAAGCAACAGAAAACAGCCTAATACAGGCCTCTGCACAAGCCTTCAGCGACCCAAAGTAGACATGGCTATGGGTAGACGCCAAGATGCAGTTAGCACCTCAGTCAGGACCATGGCTCAGCGAAGCTGTCTACATGTTCATTCCCAGGCCCACGCCCACGACACCTAGAGCTGACTCCTGTCCTGAGGGACTTCCTGGAGTCTGGCGGCGGCACCACATGCCACAATCACCATCTGGGACATGCAGGAGCCGCCAGTGTTGGGCCACTACCTGCACCCGGAGGCGCGGAGGTGGCTCCACGAACGTCAAGGCCCCGCGCTGCGCCCCCCGGCCGAGGCTCCAGGAAGCGAACTGGGCACGAGTGGCCGGCCTGCGAGAGAAGAGGAAAGTGAGGGCCGTCCCCCACCCCTCAGCCCCGCTGTCTAGACGGTCGGGGGCAGGCGCGGCTTGAGGCGTCCATCCCCCGAAGCCTGCACTTAAAACCCCCACCGCCGTCATTCCGTCTCTCTTGCTTGAGGAGGCTACCCCGGACCCCCAGCAGCTTCCAGACGCTGCGCGAGCCGCCCTGTCCCCGCCATCCTCCACTTTCCCGCAAGTTTCTATCCAGCCTGCTAGGTTCAGGGGCGCTGGGGGCCCCGAGGAGGGCCGAGGCTGACAGCCCGACAATGGTCTGTCACAGTGTGTACGGCGGCCCCTCTTCTGCTCAGCCGCGGCCTGGCGAGGCCTCCTCGCCGCCCCGGCTCCGGCAGCGCAGCGCCCCACAGCCACCGGGACTAGGCTATCTAGCGTCCGAACCGCCGCAAGGCCAGCTGGGAGTTGTAGTTCGCAGCCCGTCAGGGCCGAGCAGGGGGCGAGGTGGGGACGGCATCGGACCACAACTCCCAGGAGGAGCCTCGGCGGCAGCGCTGACGTACACGGGCTGTAGGGAGTGCAGGCCGGGAAGTAGCTTCCTTCTGATTGGGTGTAGTGGTATCGCCCTAAGACAACGACTTCTTATTGGTCAGCCTGTGGCAGTTGAGTTTAAATTGGGTGGCGGTTAGCGCGGAGCTGCGTTCTTTCACCGCAGGGAGGTTTTCCTCGGCTCTTTCTTTGGGACGCAGGTACGTGCCTCGAGACTTCTTTATGCCCAGACCCCGAAGGCGGGGGTCCCCGTCCGCCCTCAACGACCCTTCGCGGCTCCTTACTTTCCCTCCCCCCGTCTCCGCCGCAGCGCCATGGCTCCTAGGAAGGCCGGCAGTCGGGTGGCCAAGACCAACTCGTTACGGAGCCGGAAGCTCGCCTCCTTCCTGGAGGACTTCGACCGTGAGGGTAAGGGGTGGCTCCCGGGCCGCCGCGGCTACCTGCGGCGATCCCCGGCTGCTGGCGGGTTGGGGCGCGAGCAGGACGGATTCACCCGCCGGGTGACCCGTGTTGTGTCGATCTACCCTCTCGCAGTGGAAATACGGCTCAAGCAGATTGAGTCGGACAGGCAGAACCTCCTCAAGGAGGTGGATAACCTCTACAACATCGAGGTCCTGCGGCTCCCCAGGGCGGTGCGCGAGATGAACTGGCTGGACTACTTCGGTAAGTGCTGCCTCGGCCTGTGATTATCGTGACAGCCTCGCTCAAATGGAAAGGACTCGCTCAAATGTCACTTTCTTAATTAATGAGGTCTAACTTGGCCCCTTATAGAAAATTTCAGCCCTACTGCTCCCATATACCCTCTATCTCACCTCCTGCTGCATTTTTCTCTATAGCACTTACCGTCATCTGGCGCTCACCGACCCCCGACCCCCCACTGTAGGTATACCTTTTTTTCAAAAGGGCCAGGTAGAAAGTATTTTAGGCATCGTGAGCCAGACTGTTCTCCATCCGGTTACTCAATCCTTCTGTTATAGTTCCAAAACAGCTATACTGAATGGGGCATGAATAGGCTGTATTACAATAAAATTTTATTTATGGACAAACTGAAATGTGAATTTCACATAATTTTCACATGTCATGAAATACTATTTATATATATGTATGTATGTTACCCAATCACTTAAAAATGAAGGGCCGGCCCGTGGGAGAGTGTGGTGCTGATAACACCAAGGCCACGGGTTTGGATCCCTATATAGGGATGGCCAGTTAGCTCACTTGGGAGAGCGTGATGCTGACAACACCAAGTCAAGGGTTAAGATTCCCTTACCGGTCGTCTATATACATATATATGTGTGTGTGTGTGTGTGTATATATATATACACACACACACACACACATAAATAAATTGATAAATTAATTAATTAATTAATGACTTGGTTTGTTACCAGAGCTCAGATGGAAGAATAACCCCAAACAGCTCTTTCTGTAGCTATGGACATTGCCAATTAAAAATCGGGAAAATCAAATTGTGAAGTACAAGGATACAAGAGTTTTCCTGGCCAGAGAAAAATCCCATCCCCTTTCTCCATCCCCTTATTAAATCCTTTCTGCGGGCTTACCCTTACTTTCTATTTTACTTATTATTAATTATCCAGTTCGTTGTATCCTTCCTGGATAGAAATGCATGTTTTGCTTACAGAGTGGACGTTTAATGATCCTTTTACTTGCCCTTTTATTTATTAATTCTTTCATTCACTCATTTCTACAAATATTTGAGCATGTATCAGTCACAGTGCTAGCTGCTGAAGATGCACTGGGGAATAAAACAGACATTGTCTCTGCCCTCAGGAACTTACAGATTAGTGGAGAGGAGAAAAATTCACTACATCTAGTGTATCTATGTCTGGAAAAAAACAAAACAAACAAAATTCACTACAATAATAAAATTACAAGTACTACAAAAGGGATAGAGTAGTGGTCGGTAGGTATGCTGGATGGGCATTGTACTGAATGTTTTATATTCATTAACTAATTGTATCTTCATAACAAGCTAATTAATTATTAATATGATCCCTATATTAGAAATGACAAGATTAAGGCTCAGAGAGGTTACTTTGTTCAAGTTCTCATAAGCTATTTAGTGGCATCTATCTGAACCCAGTCATTCTGGTTTCAAAGCCTGAGGAGATTCTTAACTGTCACACGGGATACTGTGAAGGTTTCTAGCAGGAGGATCTAACTTTTTATTCTGCATCTAAATCCTGAAAAAGACCTTTTCATTCAACACACGTTTACTACCCATCTATTGTATGCCTGACTTTTGCCAAAAGCAATGTATATTCTCTCTAGAATTCAGTGCAAGGCAGGGGTGGACACTTACACAGCTTTGAGTTGTTGTTTGGTATGACAATGGTGAGCAACTAACTCAGCACTTTGCAACAATCTGCTGTGATAGAAAAATAAGCAGAGTTTTGAAGGATGAATTAGAAATATGTTGGATGGAGAGGAGTATTTCAGGCACAGGAATTACTAAGTATGAGGGCATAGGGTCATGAGAGACAGGTATGTTTGGGAAATAATGAGAACTCTGGTGAGGTGGAACATGGAATTGGTCATGAGGGGGAGGAGTCAAGCATGGGGAAGGATGAGACTAGATTGTGAAGGTCCTTGAATGTTGGGCCAAGGACAATCTGGTCCAGTTTTTTGTTGTTGTTTTTTTATTTTTTGTGTGTGTGGTGGCTGGCCAGTACATGGTCCAGTTTTAGAAAGATTACTGGTAGTATTAGGGAAGATGATTTACCATTAAAATCTGATAGTAACTAAATAAAATGTTTTTTTTTTAAAGCCCTTGGAGGAAACAAACAGGCCCTGGAAGAGGCAGCAACAGTAAGTGACCTGCCCTATTTTTGAGCTGTTTGTTAGTCACAAAATCCAACCAATGGGTGCTTACTATTGAAGAGGCTCCCTAAGGGGGTATTACCTGTTCATGTCAACCGAAAGATTATAGTTGGGCCAAATGTTGAATACATGAAGCCCAAATGGTTTCGAGCACTAAAAGGGAAGCAGTTCTAGTTTTGGCAGATTTCTTGTAGCCCTTTGCCCTGAACTCCACAGGGAAAGTAGAAAACCTCAAGCCCAAGTTCTTTTAAGCCCTTGGGTCATTACATTGTGACCTGGCCTGCTAGATGACAAAAAGACTATTTTATCATGTCATACTGTACAAGTAGTTCTCGTTTGGAATTTTCAGTATTCCCCAACCCCCCTCACCTCCTTCCTCCTAGCATCCATACCAGGATTGAAGGCAGTAAGATTGGGAGGCAAAATAAAGAGTTTAGATCTGCCATGTTTAATACAACAGTCACTAGGCACATAAAGCTATTTAAATTAATTAAAATTAATAAAGTTAAGAATTTATTTCCTCAGACACACTAGCCGCATTTAAAAGGTTCAACAGCCACACGTGGGTACTGTATCAGACAGCACAGAAATGGAACATTTCTACCCTTGCAGACAGTTCTATTGGGCATTGTTGGGAACTAGTTCATAAATGACTTCACAGAGTCCCTAGGCACTGAAATCCTGTATGAACAATGTGTGTTTGTACACACATCGTGTATCTTTCTGGGGAGAAAGTTTATTGTAGCCTTCATCAGATTTACAAAGTGAACCCAAAAATCTACATCTTTCCTGAGTTGATCTGAATCATTTGGAATCTCAGGGTTTGAAGGAATCTGACTACAAAGGTTATCTAGTAGCACTGACTAGCAGATCTCCACCAGCTTCAGCAGTTAAAGGTAATAAGCCAGTTGTTCAATTAGGAAAAAAATCACGATTTGAAAATGAATGAGCTTTTCTGGCAGGCATTTCACATGTGTCCCATTAAGCATATCCTGGGTGACTCCACTGGCAGTGGACTCTTGGGAGCTTATGCCTGGTTTACTCTGGACTTTGCCCCATTCATGTTTTCTTTTTGCTGATTTTGCTTTGTATCCTATTCATCCTTTGAGGATGAATACTGTAGGAGAGGGGCGGGGATCACTGAAACAAAATCAAGAGCTAGCAGAACATTCTCAGTCCATGCTTTCTCTTTCTTTGTAATATGTTTCCATGATCCATTTTATGTACCCTCCCTCCCACACACACATACACCCAGATCTAATGTTTCAAAAGAGTTACCACTAAAGGATGGCCAGGTAGCTCAGTTGATTAGAACACAGTGTTAGTAACACCAAGGTCAAGGGTTTGGATCCCCTTACTGGCTAGCTGCCCCCCAAAAAATGAATTGCCTCTGAGTTAAATTATACTCATTAGTGAATGCATCTCCCTTTTTAAAACATTAATTGCACACTAACAACTGCAAATCAGAGCTCCTGATGTAATATGAGAGATCCAGTATGATCACACCAAGTTGAGAGAATTCTAAACTAATATGATTTAAAAACCAGAAAAAGAATGATACAAAATGTACAAAAGCTGTTAATTGGGAGGTGTGTTGGGGGGCTCCGTAGACCATCTCCAGGCTTGGTAATTGACTAGGAGGACTCAGAGGGCTCAGCATATAGTTGTACTCAAGGCTATGATTCGTCACAGTGAAAGAGTACAAAGCAAAATCAGCAAAGGGAAAAACTGTATGGGGCTAAGTCCAAAGGAAAGCAGGCACAAGCTTCCAAGAGTCCACTCCCAGTGGAGTGTCACAGGATATGCTTAATTCAGCACGTGTGAAATGTGTGGTGGGTTTATGGGAGTTCACTATATTATTACAACTAACATTTAACAATCTTTTGTTATGTATCAAATATGTTTTTTAAATTGTTTTTTGTCTTAAAATATGGTTCCTCATAATTGACGGAATAAGCCTGGTGCTTTTCTGGCTGTCTTTGTCACAGGCTGACCTGGATATCACTGAAATAAACAAATTGACAGCAGAAGCTATTCAGACACCCCTGAAGTCTGCCAAAAGTGAGTAGTTTTCAAAACCTCTTGTTGAAGGGAGATAGCTGAGGCTTAGGGTACTTGGTTGGCTGCTCAGGCAGGCCCTTATTGGGAGAGTCTCTTTCCTCTAATATCTGGTCCTCAATACAATATAAATCCAAAATTTGAATTTGGATCAACACGCCGGCGGTGGCGACTTCCCGGACGGTCTTGGGGGCTCAGTGGACTGGCACGCAGCCCGAGGGCTTTCAGGCGGGGCCCGGGCATTGAGGGGCAACTGGAGCCATGGCGGAGTCAGCGCCTGCTCGGCACAGGAGGAAACGACGCTCCACACCTTTAACTTCTCCTGCACTTCCTTCACAAGCATCAGAGAAAAGCCCCTATTTTCAGACCACAGAGATCTCACTCTGGACAGTGGTGGCTGCTATTCAGGCTGTGGAGAAGAAGATGGAGTCCCAGGCTGCCCAGATACAGAGCCTGGAGGGACGCACAGGGACAGCTGAGAAGAAGCTGGCAGACTATGAGAAGATGGCCATGGAGTTCGGGAACCAGCTGGAGGGCAAGTGGGCCGTGCTGGGGACCCTGCTGCAGGAGTACGGGCTGCTGCAGCGGCGGCTGGAGAACGTGTAGAACCTGCTGCGCAACAGAAACTTCTGGATCCTGCGGCTGCCCCCAGGCAGCAAGGAGGAGGACCCCAAGGTGTCCAGGCCACTTGAGAATGATGGTGTCTGTTTCTCTGAGCAGGAGTGGGAGAATCTGGAGGACTGGCAGAAGGAGCTCTACAGAAATGTGATGCAGAGCAACTATGAGACGCCGGTCTCCCTGAAGGTCCTTGGCCAGTCAGAGGGAGAAGCAGAGTTGGGTACAGAGATGCTGGGTGACTTGGAGGAGGAAGGCCCTGGTGGTGCCCACCCAGCAGATGGGGTCATGATCAAGCAAGAGCTACAGTACAAGCAGGAAGGCTCTGTGGATCTTCCTGGAGAGTTCTCGGGCATTGCTGAAGAGCAGGCTTTCCTAAGCCCGGAGCAGACTGATCTCTGGAATGGTCAGCGTAGTTCTGTCCTCCTGGAAACAGGTCCTGGGGACTCTAATCTAGAAGAGCCCATTGAGAGCAGTAAAGACCCTAGTGGTGGCAGAACTCTGGGCTGCCGTTCGAAGCAGAAATCTCATAGGCAGGTACAACTGGGTCAGGAATGTGGGCAGGGCCTCAGGCTGAAAAGGGACACTTCAAGCTCCTATGAATGTTCTGAGTGTGAGATCAGCTTTTGCTACAAGCAGCAGCTGGCTGCACATCTGCGGAGCCACTCAGGGTGGGAGTCTTACACAGCCACAGAGCCAGAGGAGAGCTTTAGGCCTAGGCCACGGCTTAAACCCCAGAGCAAGAAGGCGAAGTTGTATCAGTGCGATGTGTGCCTGAGGAGCTTTAGCTGCAAGGTGAGTCTGGTGACCCACAAGCGCTGCCACCTGCAGGAGGGGCCTGGTCCTGGCCAGCGCATCCAGGAGAGGTTCTCACCCAACAGCTTGGTTGCCCTGCCCGGCCACATCCCTTGGAGGAAAAGCCGGAGCTCCCTTATCTGTGGTTACTGTGGCAAGAGCTTCAGCCACCCGTCGGACCTGGTGCGGCACCAGCGAATCCACACAGGCGAGCGGCCCTACAGCTGCACTGAGTGTGAGAAGAGCTTTGTCCAGAAGCAGCACCTCCTGCAGCACCAGAAGATCCACCAGCGGGAGCGGGGTGGGCTGGCCCTGGAGCCTGGAAGGCCCAATGGCCTGCTTTAAGGGTGCCAGCCCCTCGCCCGTCTGGGGGGCGGAGGGGGCTGGCATTGGTCCCCCCGAAGAGACACTTTGCAGAGTCAGGGACTGACTGCTTCATGAGGGGAGTTGCTTCTGATTTGCTTCCCTTGACCAAGTACCAAGCCAAGCCCAAAGGCTGTCCTGAAAACTACGTGGAAGAGGAAGAGCCAAGGGCCAGGCCTCTCCCCGCTGTCTTCACCCTGCTGCTGAGTGTGTTGTCTTTTGGGCACCTTCAGGCCTCTGCTTTTCCCATCCATACTGATACTCCTGTGCTGGGGTTGGCGTTCTGACCCCATAGGGACTGGTGGCCAGTTCCAGGTCTTGTCTAGCATTTTGTGTCTTCTCACAGGGTTGAGTTGGGCCACAGGAGTGAGCAGGTGTGTGGAAGAGTTCTGGAAAGCATAACCCTTCCTCTTCTTTTGTAGTCTCTTTATTAATAACAAGTAGAAGAAATAATTTAAATGCACTGCTTACCCTACTCTGAAGAACCTTTTTTGGAATTAGATATTAGTTGATTTTTAAAAAATACAGCCCAATACTTGTTTTTTAAATTTCAAGAGTTGTAGAAGTTGTTCCTAATGTGGGGACTGGGCCTACCCTCTAGGAGGGAATAGTTTATGGGCTCTTTTAGCTCACCTACACTAGGCCAGAGAACAGGGGACACAGTGCTGGTCTCCCTCTTGTGGGGTGCTTGGCTCTTAAATGGGGCTAATTGTTTCAAAAGGACCAAGAGGAAGAGAGTAGGTGGGGTAGATCCAAAAGGCCCTTCTGAGAAGAAAGCTTCCTGTAAAGGAGCTGGATCTGGCAGTTTAGTGTCTCACCGTACCCTTCTCTTCCTCTTCTAACCCTGTCCTCGTCCTCACTGGTTCTGCAGGCTCCTGGGGCAGAAGACTACTTTGTTATTTAAAGTTGTTCATCTTGTACCATTGGTTATTTGAGTTTGTTCCTGTTACAATAGTCATTACTTGAGGTTGTTCAGATTATGTGTTCCAAATTTGTCCTGGAACTGACTATTCCAGAGATGACAGGAAAAGCACACAAATGTGTGTCTCTTGAAGTGTTGAATGTCTGCCCCACTGTTGTTTGGGGAGATCTGAGTGGGCTCCTGGGTCGTATGTGAATGTCCCCTTGGGTGATTTACAGTTGCCTAGAATAAAACTTGCTACTAGCAAAACAACAACAACAACAAAAAAACAAAATTTGAATTTGGTTGCTGCATTGAGTTAATTATATGCAGGACTGATATTAACCAAACTCATATGACCAAAGTGTAAGCTAAAGTAAAAGGAGGGGGAAAAAAAGCTGAGCTGGAAACCAAACATTGTTGCCTGCTTGCTTTCTCCTCGGTGTAAAAGGTCAGTAAGATTTAGAGAGGTGTTAATGAAAACTTTTTTCTTTCTGACTCTCTGTTGTAATAAACCTTTTCAGCTGTCTGCACTAACTCTCTGAGGGTCTTATCTTGTAACCCTTCTAGTTTCTGTAATTTTTTTACATTAAAAGACTAGTAATACCAACTGAGACCTCCATGATATAATCAGCAGGGTTGAAAGAATTGTAAAAGGAGTAACTTGCTCAGCATGTATCCCATATTACTCAACTCAGTGATCTGTTCTTGTGAAATCATCTCACATACACATCCCACACTCTGAGAAACACCATTTTATAGGAAAAGTTACATGGGAACCAGATTGTAACTAGATGAGCATGGAATCGGTCGAGATGAACTGTGACCTGGACTTAAACATTGCTGTCATTAAGCTATGGTAGCTCAATTCATCCTGCTTTTGTGAGGACAGACCATACTCAGAGCCTGAATTTCAGGGCTGCCTGCCAGGGCACCATTTCCACTGAGCAAGGCCAGAAACATTGTCCACTTCTTGTTCTGAGTTACCTTCCATCAGAATTGCCTTGTAGAGTGAAAAAAGCAAGATGAGTTTTTTGCTTTCATAGTGTCCTATTCTAGTCTTGCCTCCTGGAGCTTATGGCATAATTGGACTTGAGTTCCTCAGCCACATATTTACAATCTGTTAGGTCACTTTGGGTCATTTCTACATTTATGTAATATCAGTTTCTCTTCTGAGTTCCACCAGTTTTGCTTATTTGGTGATGGTGGGGGGACTGTCTTCTGATTTCATCCCTTGGGACTGAACACAGCAGGACCAATGTCAACTACCAGTTGAAATTGTTTATATGCTCTCTTGACAACTGGACTTTGACTACATTGCAGGCTATTTTTTTTTTTTAAAAGATAAAGGTACTTATATTCTTATTTAATATGTCAGAGTTGAGAATGACAAAAAAAGCTTAAGTCATTTAGTCCAATCTCTCTTCCCTCATGATAAAATACATGAATTTTCTTTATGGAATCCCTGCTCAGGATCATCTTAACTCCTGGATGTATGTATTTAGTAGTGAGACACTCACTACCTTTCATCATTAGACAGCTATAATGGTTAGAAAATTTGTAGTAATTTTGAACCAAAGTTTCCTTGTACCTGCATATTGATACTTGTTCTACCCTTTGGAGTCCACAGAACTGTCTTCTATATGACAACCCTTAAGTATTAACAGTTGGTATTATTTCCTCTGGAATCATCCATCTTAAATATCACTCATATTCCTTTTCCTCCTAAGATGATAATTGTAATAATAATTTTATTATTTATGAGTAAAAATATTTAACTATAATAAATACTCCTTGTTATAACGTGTGTCTGGTATTATCCAAAGGGCTTTACATTCATTCATTCCACAAATACTTGATAAATACTTATTGACACAATTGTAGGGTTTGGGGCTACAGGAATAAAAATAACAAACACTGGTTGGCCAGTTAGCTCAGTTGGTTATAGCGCAGTGTTATAACACCAAAGTCAAGGGTTCAGATCCCTATACCAGCCAGCTGCCAAAACAAAGAAAACATAAATAAATAAATAATTTTAAAATAATAACTTAGAAAATAACAAGCACCCTATCTTTGTAGAACACACATTCCAAGCCTCATAATATCCCTATAAAATGACTACTCCCCGTTGTAGATGAGGAAACTGAGGCACCTCAATTAAAGCCATGTGACCTAGTAAGTGATATGGCCAGGCCACAAGCTCAGGTCTCTCCGTCTGGAATCTATGCTCTTATTCAGAATGCTCGGCTGTTCCTACAAAGAGTCATGTGGGGTTTCTTAACCACTCTGATTAGTTTCCTTTGTTTAAACCCTCTTTTTAAAAAAGTCATCTTTATTTTGAGTCTATTTCTTTTTTTTTTTTTTTTTCTTTTTTCCTTTTTTCCTTTTTGTCTTTTTTACTGACCGGTAACGGGATCACAACCCTTGGTGTTGCGCCCGCACCGAGCTCAGCCAGTGAGCGGGAACCGGTCTCCACATGGGACCCGAACCCTCGGCGGGAGCGCCACCGCGCTCCCAAGCGGCGCACTCTCCAGTGCGCCACCGGGCCGGCCCTTGAGTCTATTTCTTGATTGCAGCCTAAGATTGTATAAGTTTATTCCTTGTAAGAAATATGAATGCATGAAATTTTATTCCCATCAGAAATATCACGCTATTAAAATTGTTTTTTATAGCACGAAAACTAATGCCAGTAGGTGAAAAGATAGTGGAAGAGGAAGAAGAAGAAAATAAACATAAGACTCTTTCAACTGCAAGAGTAAGTAGGCACTCAAGTTGGGGGGCGGGGCCTGTCAAGAGATAAGCAAATAGAAAAATGCATAAAAAACAGTGTTTCCCTCTCAGAGCTCATGGTTTAATAGAGAAGATCCACTTTAAGTGACCAATAACAAAAGTGATAATTGATATGTGTACAAAGTGTGTAGAACCACAGAGAAGGAAGCTAGCAAGTCTTCCTGCCCCATTAGGACACAACCAAGTTTACTGAGATTCCACTAGCTGGAGAAGAAAGGGAGAGAATTTCAGGAGAAGCTAGGAAAGTGTCCATTTAAGGAGCAGGAAGCAGTTTGGTATGACTAGGATATAAGCTGTGAGGGTCATATAAGTAGAGTAGGGACCAGTGATGAATGATCTTGTGTGCCACCCTTGGAAGTTTCCATTCTGTCACGTAGGAAATGGTAAGTGACATCAGATCAGTATTTCAGAACAGCATTCAGGATAAATAGGGAGAAAAAACTGGAGACAAGGAAACCAGCTGTGAGGCTTTTACTTCTTCTTTTTTTTTTTTCCTTTTTGTCTTTTTTCGTGACCGGCAACGGATCGCAACCCTCAGTGTCGTGCCCATACCGGACCGGGACCGGCAATGGGATCGCAACCCTTGGTGTTGCACCCGCACCTCGCTCAGCCAGTGACCGGCCGGTCTGTACGTGGGATCCGAACCCTCGGCGGGAGTGCCACCGCGCTCCCAAGCGGCGCACTGTAGCAGTGCGCCACCGGGCCGGCCCAAGGCTTTTACTTCTTAAATGGAGGCACTGACACTATAAAAAGAAGGGATGGTTTTCAGATAAGTTTTGTAAAGGAGAATGGGTGTGATTGATGGAGGGAAGGAGGGATCAGAGATGACTAAATTGTTTCTAGCTTAGGCAACTTCCATCCAATGAAACATGGGACCCAGGAGGCAGAGTGGTGCTAGGTCAGGGGGAGGGGGAGCGTGTGTCATTTTCTTGAGATGTTGTCAAATTCTTTTTCAGCACATCTAGGCTAGACAGAGATTTCAGCCTGGAGCTCAGGAAGAAGTAGGAGATGAGAAGCCCACTGCCTCCCAGGTTTTTAGGTCCTTGTCCCAGTGCAGGAGTGGAAAAGGTTGTACAGGGAGAGCAGGAAAGGAGGGAGGCTGAGGATGGACACTTGAGGGAAGGTAGCAGGAGGAGCTCCTGAGGCAGATTGCTGAGAGACAGCCAGAGACGTTGGAAAGATGGATCAATTTGGAAGATGGGAGGAAAGAATTGCCAGAAGATGAGGAGGGATTCTTGTCAGCTGCCTCCCAGGACTCAGGAAGGCGAGGACTGCAGCGCCTTCCTTGCATTGGGTACCTGGGATGCCCTGAGTGCCCTGCACAGCTGCAGTTTATGTAAAGTAGTGGGGGACAAGCTAGGCTGCAATCAGTTCAAAAGATTTACCTTTAATTTTGGCCAAAAGTCTATTTTGAAGACCCAGCCAGTAGAAGTTCTTAGTTGATCAATTATTTTCTGAATTGGTTAAGTCACTCTATTCTGTGAGATAGACCTTCTTATATTTAGTATTAACTTTCCTTTCCAGAGCTGTCTCCCTTCCCCTCCTTTTTTTTTTTTACCCTCCTTACCTTTCCCTTTTGTTGGGCTTTTCGTAACCTCAGTTTCATGTGATTATGAGTTCAGGTCAAAAGGTGTCCTCCATCCAAGAAGAGAACACAGTCCGTACAAGGAAAACGCAAAAGCAAAAGGTAATGGGTTTGCCACGTTTATATGTGTGTTTTTGGTTTTGTTAGAGAGCCACATACATCATGGCAGAAATAAGGGGTAAAAAGGGCTTTGGTGGCTGGTGTTCTAGTGAAGCTTAAAGTCACTGATTTCTTGAGTGTCTGATCTGGAGGAGCCTATAGAAATGGTCTAAACCAATACCTTCTGCAGTTCTTCTGCTTACATTCTCCATCCTCCACCAATTTTTTTTAGTGCAAACAGGGAGAGTGAGACCCAGAAAAGTATAGTAAGAACTACATATGATGTTTAGTTGCCTGACAACCCGTGTGCAGAGCTACCCCTTAGTAAGTCACAAAGTGGCTGTCACCTACCTGTAATTAGTTTCTTGAAGTGTTCCTACTGGTTCTGCCAAGTAAAGAATCACCAGGGGCTTGAACTGATTATTGATTATGCTGGACTCTACTGTAATCCATCTGGGGGGGGGGGGATGAAAAACAGCTTAGGAAAGTAGTCACTGGGATGCCTGTCTGTGAAGGAGGGAACTCATTTCTCCCTGAACAGTGGCAGCAAGACTAACCAGCTCCTAGCGAGGGGACAAGAATTCCAGCTGGGGGAGCCTTCATGTTGTTGAGAGGCTCTGTTCTTCCTTGTGTTCTATTAGCTTGATTGAGAAGTCAGATTCTAGAGGCAGACTGCTTGGGTTCAAAGTTTTGGCTCCACCCTAATTGGCTGTGTGACCTTGGGCAAATGACCTTGGACAAATTCCGTAAACTCAATATGCCTGTGTTTCTGCATCTGTAAAGGAGGATGAAAAAAAAAGGATGATAACAGTGCTTACTTCCTAGGGTTGTTAGGAGGGTCACGTGTTGATGTGCGCAGGGCACCCAGAGCAGTTTCTGACATGATCAGCGCTCTCCAGGTGTCACCTGCCTCTGCTGTTGTCATCGGACCTCAGAGTTGGCGTCCCTGATGAACATTTCTTACCTGTAGGTCAAGCCATGGTAACACTATTACCCCAGCTGTGGGCCGATTAGAGTTGTCTATGGTGAAACCAACTCCAGGCCTGACACCCAGGTTTGACTCGAGGTGAGTATTGAGAAGAGCACTTAGATTTTGGTGGAAGCCCAATAATGAACATTACTTAGAGAGTGTTTAAGAAAACTCCTGAATGCTTGGCCTGGGATGCCTTCTCAGAGTATGGCAGCCATACAGGCTTCTCATTGTTTGCCTGTCCCCTGAGTGTAGGTTCACTAGCTTTCAGTGGCAAAATGATTATCTGATGAGAGGGAGGTGAATATTCTGCCTCTGATGACTAGAAGGCCTCTATATCACTTTTTTGGTCTTTATTTTTTTTTTTTTCCTTTTTGTCTTTTTTACTGACTGGTAACGGGATCGCAATCCTCGGTGTCGCGCCCTTACCGGGGACCGGCAACGGGATCACAACCCTTGGTGTTGTGCCCGCACCGCGCTCAGCCAGTGAGCGGGAACCGGTCTCCACATGGGATCCGAACCCTCGGCGGGAGCGCTGCCACGCTCCCAAGTGGCGCATTCTCCAGTGCGCCACCGGGCCGGCCCACTTTTTTGGCCTTTAAAGATGGGTATGCATTCTCCTGTACCCTTGGTAGGAGTGAAAATTGACAACCACCTTTTTGGAGGCCAACATAAACGAGGATGTTCTTACAGCGTAAGTTAAATACTTTCTATAGCAGCTAGTTGACCAAACAGGAAATGCTGTACAGCCGCTACAAAGGAATCAATCTGTATTTGCTGGTAGGGAAAGAGTTTCATGAGTACAGAGCATCCCCAAGCAGGTCACTGAACACGGTATACTGTATGGTCCCATTTGCTTTTATATATTTCATAGAAAGTTTCTGGAAGGGTAGATAAGGAATTAAAGAGTGGTTACCCCTGGGGAATGGAGAAAGAAGTGGTTATCTCTGGGGCTGGGAGAGTGAGGAAAACTTAACTTTCTACTTTTAATTCCCATTTTTCTTTACTATTTGTTTTTTCACATGAACATGTGGCAAAAGATGTTTAGAGAAAAACAGGTAGCAGCATTTTAACTGTCCTAGGATAGTTAGTTTGGAGGTCAGTATAATGATGTAATCACCACATCATCCTTGCTTGACTCTGGAAAATTCCTCTTGTTGTTAGCCCCTCGGAAAAACATTAACAGTTTATTTCTGGCTTTGCGGATGGATCAATGACTGACACCCATATGGAGCTTTGGAGCTAAAATTCAATGGATAGAAGTTGACTTTTGCTAGATGTATGTTTGGTAATTACAACCTCCATTCTCCAGCTGTGTTTAGTCATTACTGCTTAAAACATTTTTTTCCCTAAATTTAGAACTTGCCTTCTTAGAAATGTATGATTTGGAAACTGCAGCTTGAGACCAGATGGGGGTTGGAAGGGCCCATGGAGCTTGGCCTCCTTCCATCTGCCAAGCCGTATTCATAGAACTTTTCCCATTCTCTAGAGTCTTCAAGACCCCTGGCCTGCGCACTCCAGCAGCAGGAGAGCGGATTTACAGTATCTCAGGGAATGGCAGCCCTCTTGCTGACAACAAAGAGGTCTTCCTCACTGTGCCAGTGGGCGGCGGAGAGGTAAAGTATTTCCAAGGGAAGCCAAACCACAGTGCTGCTTAGTCAAGCATTTCTCTTCCCTGGGCCTTCGTCCACTGTTCTCACTCAGAGTCCTTTCACTGGTATCAGTCCTGATCTCCACATTTCCGCAGGACTCAGAACCCAGTTTTCTTTCCCAGGTTAGAGGCCCAGGCTGGGAAGATCATTGCAGTTCTGTGTTCTATCTTTTCATCAGCTAATATTTGCCCACCTGATTACAGCAGGCCCAAGATGTAAAAGATATGATTCTTGCCCTGGAGAAGCAGTTCAGTAGTCAAAATGAGTTCACAATCACAATGTGTTATGTGCAATAACAGAGATATTAAAAGCAGTGCAGAGGAAAGCACCATTGGGTATGCCCTCAGTCTAGAAAAGGGAAAATGAGCTGTGCCTTCCACTTTGTATAACTTTGAGGGATTCTGAAGCAGACTGAGCTCAGTTCTCTGGGCCATGTACAGCAAGTTGCTGACCTCAGCCTCTCTGAGAGGAGGATGATTTATTTCAGTTGTGGCGTACAATCGTTTCTAAGCTAATCTGAGGGCCTTTGTACCCAGATAAGCCACCTTCCCAGTGATAGCACTGATGATGTCATTGTCTCCTTGAGCTAACACCCCTTCTGCCTGCCTTGCCACATCTCCATCCCAGCCAGTGTCCACCACCAAGTGTAGGATATCAAGGGGACCCCCTGGGGCACAGTGGGCTGCTGGATGGAGGTTCCTATCCTAAAGGACATGCCAATTTAACCCATCCTTCCCTCTACCCAGAGCGTGCGATTATTGGCTAGTGACGTGCAGAGGCTCAATATTGCCCAGCTGGATCCAGAGGCCCTGGGAAACATTAAAAAGCTCTCCGTAAGTCTCAGATTCATCTCCACATGTAGGATGCCTCCAGTAGCTTTCATGGTTTAGCTTTATTTAGGATTGTCTTTTGGGTCTGGGCTAATGTTTTATTCTTAGAATTGTGTTGCCACCTTTTCCCCAAGGGATTTTGACTATTATACTACTTACATAGCAGCCGTTCTGTTCCTAAATTGGTGTTGAGTTTTGGTCATTCCCAGAGTGCCTGTCACACAAGTTCCACAACAGAATCAAAATTCCACCTCATTCAGGCAGTTAGTATCAGGGATATCAGGGCACCATTGACTGCCAGGAACTGAAACTTCCTACAATGGTTTGGAAATGAGAGAAAGGGCTTGTTGTAAGAAATCTCACAGAGTCAAAGAAAGAGCTGAACAGCCAGGCTTCCAGAGTGGTAAGGACCAGGAGCAGCAGTTTACGGACTTTCACTTTGGCGTAACAGTTCCTTTGGTGTCTCTGTCTATGGGGCATGTGCACTCATTTTTCCTGCACGTCTTTATTCCTCCCTCTCAGCAGATATTCTTCTCCCCGAGGTTGTTGGCTCTGCTCTCCCTTAACATTGATTTGTACATGGCTTTGGGTAACCACATCTCTAACTCTGACTTTATTGCTCCAGTAACCCATCATGTTTCAATTTCTTGTCTTAGTTTAAATTCTCAAGAGGAAGAATTTAATTGGCTCAGTGTTGGTTAGATGAGCCTCCCTGGTCCAATCAGGCATGGCCTTGGGGATGGGAACACTTAGTGCAAACATGGCTGCCCAAGCCCACCCTTCTGTGGGGTCTGTGAAGAGTACATCCAAGGAAGGGGACAAGGCAGAGCTTTCCCAAACATGTCCTATTGAACATAGACCCAGTGCTAAGATCCCACACACACCCAGCCCCCCAAATCTGTGAAAATCATCCTCTGGCTGGACCTGTAACATTACTGTTCCCAATTATCTCATTTGATACCTTCACTATCTCATTTGAGATGTTGTTTTACTCCTTTGTTCAGATGAGAAACTGGGGTTCAGAAAAGTTAATTTGTGTGTGATAAAAATAGAGAGTGGAGGGGCTGACATTCACTCAGGGCTGTGCTCAGGTAGACTGATAAGTGGCTAATGGGGCAAGCATGCTATGTGCCGTTTTCTCTAAATGACCTATCTCCTTTTCATTTTAGAGCCGTCTTGCCCAGCTCTGCAGCAGCATACGGACCCACAAATGAGAAGCCACACTTGACAGGGTAGACCTTCACTGGATTCTTCTGGAACCCTGAAAAGACTTCCCTTCACGCTTATTGTTTGAGTGTGAAGTTCCAGAGAAGGGAATAGTGTTCTTCCTGAGGAATTCGGGAAGGGGGAGACGCACTGTTTCCACACCAGTTAGATAAGACTTTGTTTTTCATATGTCCCAATCCAAGTGACCCCAGCCACTGCCCACTGCGTCCATGTGATAGAAAATTCCCGTCGTTCTCTCAGTTGATATCCCCCTGTTCTCTGACCTGCTGCCTTCTGCCTATTGTCATTTAGCATCCTCTCTGCCCTGCCCGACCTGCGATGGAGGTGGCATAGAAGAACCCCATGTTCTGGGGGAGACTGCTTCCCACACTCCTCCGACAACCCTCTGCATCTGGCATTTCTGCTCTGTGTATGATTGGAGATGGGAGTGTAGACTTACAGAAGTGAGAGCTCTGAGCCAAGAGAGGGCAGGTTCAGAAAGTGGGGGGACTGTACAGATCAGGCCTGGACAGAATAAGGTGGGTCACAGCAGTGATCCCAGCAGCAGAACATGCATGTCTCCCCTCCCACACTCATTCGCTTCTCCTCCTGTGGGGGTACTAAATGGGGCTTTGGAATCTTTCACCGGCTGTGCCCAGTAATTCTTTTCAAGCTTACTGTGAACAGCTTTTTGTGTTTATCCCTGTTTACCCAAGACCAAAAATTGGTTTTGAGGCAGCTTCCATGTGTTGCTTCTCTACCTCTCTAGTTAGTGAGAACTTGGATAATGGATTTGTAGGGCTTAGAGTCTAGGGTTTTATGTGACTGGCCTCAGAGTCACTATCTCTGAGTTTTCCATGGTCCAGTGATCTCTGCCAGGTCTGTAGACTCTGCAGAGAGCACTTCTCTCTCAAGGGGTTCATCAGGGGCACAGATGTGACTTGTCTGATGGCCTCATTTCACGTGTCTGACATTGACTATTTATGCAGAGTCTGCAGTGAAATCTTTGGGCTTCAGCCAACTTCTCTGCCCCCAAAGAATCATGAGCTGTGTTCTGAAAATTTGGGAATTAGAGTTCTCATCCCCAGGCTTGAGGGAACACAGCATTCTCATGTATGGCTCTTTGCTGTATTTGGTATTATTTCACGAGATGACCATTTTAATGTTCAGTCCTTTTCAAGTTGAATTCTGTTCAAGTTGCTTTATTCTCCTTTTCCTGAGACTTTTGTACATATTGTTTTCCTGAGTGATGGTATCTCTAAGCTGATTTGTTCTAATTAGCTACTGAAAGGTCCCTGCTTTCAATAAATTCTTGTTTTGTTTTTTATCAATATTCAGCCTGCCTGTCATCTCCAAGCTGTGCTACATGGGATAGGGAGACAGTTTTGGAGCTGGAGCTACAGGAGTAGAGGTCTTTGGACAGCTGCTTTCCTCAGAAGATGTGAAAACCTTTACTAGGCAGAATCTCTATGATGTCTGAAGGGGGGCACTTCACCCCAAGATCCAGGGCATTGGTAACCTCAACATCCAAGCTGCTTTCCCCCAACACCTTTGTTTCTTTGGTTTTTTGGTTTTTTGTTTTAAAAAAGATGACCAGTAAGGTGATCTTAACCCTTGGCTTGTTGTTGTCAGCACCATGCTCAGCCAGTGAGCGAACCGGCCATCCTTATATAGGGATCCAAACCCATGGCCTTGGTGTTATCAGCACCGCACTCTCCCGAGTGAGCCACGGGCCAGCCCCACCCCCCAACACCTTTGTTCCATGAGCTAGAAATTTATATCTGGGAGGACAAAATCAGGGCATCTATAGTTTACCTATATAGTGAAGTCTCATTAGCTGGGAACAAAGCAGGGGCAAAGGTACATCATTGATCATGTTTCTCACTTTCCACATTGCCAGGGGCTCTGCCTTCCTGTAACTTTTTCTGCTTTGAAAGTGATTGACATGGGACTAACAATGGAAGCGAGTTCTGTCTGAGAGAAGACAATCTGGGTCATTACTTAGCCAGGTTATTTGATGTTGACAGTGTATAGAGAAGGAGCCGTCTTGGTCAGTGACAGCATTTGGAAGAAAGGTTACTCACTGCAAGTAAGTCACCCAATCTACAAGTCAACCTACAAGGCTTCAGCATCTTCCTTCATCATCAGTGCAGTGTGAAAAAGAGCCTGACATCAAGGAAACACTTAGGATCCAACATGCTTTACCAGAGCCGGGCTCACCCTGTTTCAGTCCATTTGCACCACTGCCTAAGTGAACCCATTTGTAGAAATGCATGGTATGCAGCAGGTGTAGAAATGTATGGTATGCAGCCTACTCGATGCCTGTGACTGAGAGACTGGCTTGGGAGGTAGAGTTCCCCGTTCCAGGATTTGGGGGTAGGGTGGGGGGGCAGGCAGGACTGCTGGCTGGTACAGGGATCTTGACCTTGGTGTTATGACACCATGCTCTAATTACAATTTTTTTGTGCTTTTTACTTAACTGAGCTACCCAGTCAGCCTCCAGGAATTTTAAACATGAACTGAATTGTCATGGGACTAGGATGTTGCAAAGAAAATTGAAATCTTACTGCCAGCCAACAAACACTGTTTGGGTTGGTTTGTATTTTATTTTTTCAAATTAATTGCTAACAATTTAAAAATTGGGAGATTTCACAAAGATTGCTAGACTCCAAAAATAAGATCTAGCAATGCAGGCCAACCGTCAGCTGGAGCTGAGTAGCAGCTTTCCTTGGCTCTGAGTCCTCTTCAGTTCAAAGCAATCCCCATGAGATTACTTCTGTCTTGATGTTACTGACCTCATCCCTGTGGACAATTTAGTTTGTACCATCTGAAGTGGAGAGAAAACAAAAGCAGAGCTGCTGTGGGTTGAAGGGAGGGAGGATGGGTGTCTGGAGTCCTCTCCTTCCCCAGGGCCCTTCAGGCACTTTCAAGGAAGGCCAGGTTTTTCCTTTGCCCTACAGGCTCCCTGATATTTCCAAAAGCCCTGCCTGGGGCTTCCTGTTGCAAGAATTCCAAATGTATTATGATAAATGTATAATTTATTATGATGAGTTAGATTAAATTACTCATGAAGAGCTAGTTTGAGGGGTGGGGGGACACATCACCTAAGCATTGCTTTTTCAAAGCATCAGACGTACCTTTCACCTTGAAGGAATTCATGTCCCCCTCCACCAATGATAATGAGTTCACATACCAACATACGGCTCATCTCCACAATGTGTCCCTCATCCGCTGAAAAAGTATGTCTTCATGTCTATGTGCACATACACTCTAAGCCTGTTTTCCTTTTCTAGATTTACACAATATGATTGTTGTTGACCCATACCTAAAATTCAGCACGTCTCATGCTCAAGATTTTATAGTAGATAATGCATGTGGCTTCAGAAATGGGAGGACTGAGAGACACTATTAAGAGAGGGTTCAATCAGAATTGGGGGCTACATTGGGCTCCCCACTTAATGAGAGTCAAATCCAATTTGCCTTGGCTAAGGTGCCATCTCCCTTTACAGGATTAGGCATTTTCTCAGCTCTTTATCATCCCTGCCTTCATTCTCTTACCTATCAAACAAGTCACCTCTCTCCCCCAACCCCTCCCCGCCAGCTGCAACCTGCACTTCTTGCCTTTTACACTTTGCCATCATCTTTCCCTTAGTTGATATTAGAGTCTGTATAGTTGGTGTTTTCTGATCCTCAGACAATGGATATGTTGGAAGACAAAGAAACCCTTGGCACCAATATACCAGGAAAGCCCAGCTCCATCTGCAAATTTTCACTGCCCACAAGCACACACTTATTGCATGTCACAATATGCCAAGAACCATCAGGACTGATAGATGACAATCTCCAAGGATACACCTCTTCCAGTTGGATGCAAGGTCACACTGGCAAACCTCATCTTGACTCCCTTGACAGTGCCCCAGCTGATGGTCAAGGAGTGTTGTGGAGGTGGAGAGAGGAGAAGGGGCAAGACGAGGCCTAAGTGGGAGGGCTGCAAGGTGTTTACAATGAGGAAACGTTTAGTTTTGGATTTTTTAGCTTCTCTCAAACTATTACAAGCCACCTTAGTCAAAACATATTACTTGAGGCTGGGCTTGAGATACCCATAAACTCCCACGAAGCTAGTAGGCATCATGAGTTCCTCTATGAACTGAAACAGTTTCTGAGTTCACTCTGTTGTGTCAAGACCTCAGGGGGCCCAGCTAGTAAAATGGGGTGGGCGATATACTGAGGAGAATAGCGGGGTTCTTTCAAGATACTGGCAGACACTTCAGTTTAATTGGGAAAAGGTTAGAGCATGGTGTTGTAAAACCAAGGTCAAGGGTTTGCACCCCACACAAGGCAGCCGCCAAAAAAAAGTTCTACATGACAAAAGGGTACAAAGAGATTTAAAGAGAGGATGCTATATGGTATGGAGTTTTACTCAGGTCCTGAGCAGTGTAATGGGATGATTTTAGGAGCTGACGTTCTGAAGTCCAGAACTCAGGCACTGGTTAACAAACTCAGTGAACTCACTACCCACTTTCCCCTTGGGGGGGGCCATCTCACAACTCCCCAGGGACTAGGTCGGGCAGAGCCATCTCCTGGACTCTCACAACACCTAGAATTTATCCCTATTGCCAAGCCTTTTGTGCTTTTTACTTAACTGACTCCCTCACTAGACAGTAAGGTCTTAACTTCCAGTGCCATCCACCTTGTAGATGCCTAGTACGTACTTGCTGAATGAGCAAATACCTTGTCAAACCAGAAAAGCAGGCTCACTGCGCAGAGAAGTCCATGTCAATTCCTGACCACATATTGTATGTCTACCTAGTGCCTCTCATAAATAACACTGATAATAAGTGAGCTCTTCCTGCGGGCCAGGCACTGTGTTAATTTGGGGGCCCTCCACTCCCTGGCTGCACACCTCTCCTGGGGCAGACATCAAACAGAGTGATGCTCCTACCATCTCTAACCCACACCCCATTCCCTCCTCCCCATGAGAAGGAGTTGGCTTATCTAATGGAATTGGGAGAAAGAAGGAATGACCTGTTTGAGTCTATGCCATCTGGCTTCTCCTGCAGATCTGCGGCCCACAGGAAAGGTGTCCCCTGGCCTGTCTGCTCCCATTATGCAGGAAGCTCTGTGGGCAGCACTGCCGCTGCAGCCCGTGACCATCCACTCAGCCTGGGGCTGGGAGGGTCTAGTTCCAGGGAATGATGGGAAACACACTTTGTCCCCTATACCCTGTGCCTTATTGAAGAAGTACAATATACACATTTCAACATGTCTGAAATCGGGATGCATCTTCCAACCAGATGGCATGACATGGTTTACTTGGCTGGGACGCTTCTCTTAGTGGCACTTCTTACACTTCAATGGCATCTTCGATTCAAAGAAACATGAAAGCAACATTTTCCAGTCAGCCTTACCAAAGGGCCGATATTTTGATCTCCATCTGTCCCAGAGAGTTAGTACTCGATCGGTTCTCAGTGCACGAGGGGAGGAGAGAAGTGTTATTTATTGCCACTACCATCCAATTCCCAGCACTAAGCACATCCCAGAGCCTGGACTGTGCAGATGAGGAAGACGCCTCCCCAGCCTGCGAACGTGAACAGCCCAGGCCAGGGAGAGGAGAAGCACTAGCAAGCCAACCGGGCAAGGCACATGCTCACATGGTGCAAGTGTGTGTGCATGCGTGCCCACGTGTGCTCCAGCTCTCCTCAGCTCACACTTGTCACTGGCTTAGCCCTCTCTTCCTGCCTTTGCTGCCCTCCTCCAGGGATTCCCAAACTCCACTCCCCAATCCTCTCATCTGGTTCTGCCCCCACAATTCAGGTCACTGTCATGGGTTGAATTGTCTCCCCTCCCCAGCTCCTACGTTGAAGTCCTAACCCCAGTAATCCCAGTAACCAGTAACTCAAAATGTGACGGTATTTGGAGATAGAGACTTAAAGAGATGATTCGGTTAAATGAGTCTATTAAGGTGGGCCCATATGGACCAGTCCAATATGACCAGTGTCCTTATAAAGGGGGATTTGCACACAGAGATGCAAAGAGGGAAGGTGATGTGAAGAGACACAGGGAGAAAAGTGGCCATCCACTGGCCAAGGACACAGGCCTGGAGCAGATCCTTCCTTCACAGCCCTCAGAAGGAACCAACCCTGCGGACACCCTGATCTTGGACTTCCAGCCTCCAGAGCTGTGAGACAATAAATTCCTGTTGTGTAAGCCAGCCAGTTTGCAGTATTTTTTACAGTGGCTCTAGCAAATTAATGCAGTCACTGATAATATCCATACCAACAGCGGCTCTTCCATTCTCTTCTCACTTGGTTTCTCTGTATGTAACGCCAAGATGCACTCTTCCTTGGGCTGTGACGTCACAACTCCTTCCTAGCTTCTCTTCCACTCCTCCTTACATTCTGTCTCCTGCTCCCCTTCATCCACTCGTCTCCTACTACTGGCGTTTCCCCAGGGCTCCCCTCTCCTCCACATGCTGGCCCAGTGACCTCCTCCTCACCATGGCTTCAAGCCCCACCCGTGTGCCAAGGACCCCAAAGCTCTGTCTCTAGCCCATGTCTGTGCTCCAAGTTCCAGATCCAGATATCCACCTACCTCTCAGACATCTCTGCCTGCACATCTCACAAGTTTCTCAACAGTGTGTCCCAAACTGACCTCCATTTCCTGGCCCTCCGCGGCTCACACACTGTCTATCTCAGGGAAAGTCCTCATCTCCTCGAGGATGCCTTCCTTGGTTTACATGCTACGCCTTCAGGTCACCTGGTACAGAAACTCTCCCGCACAAGCTACACCATGGTTGAGCAATTGTCACTCAAAGAGGCACCATATCACAGACAAGTTTTTATTACTTTGTCCTGCGTATAGAACCCAAGAAATATAAAAACATCTCCAGAATTAGTCAAAGGAACCATCTCCCCAACTGGCCCCCTCCCTCCATGTGTGGGCTCAGACTGGGGTGATGTGGGGTTGCAGGCCACCTTCCTCTATCCAGTGCACAAGTTGCATACAAAAATAGATCTGTAGAGGGTTCCCAGAAAGCCATCACCCTGCATCATGCTGGCGCCTGCACAGGGCAGAGGCCTGGGACCCATCAGGATTCTGAGACCTCACTCCTCAGTGGAGGAGAGATCTACCCTGGACACCGAAGTCCTGCCGACACAGCCAGGGGCCCCTCTGCAGAACAGCTGGGAGAGGGGGAGGGGAAGGGGGGAGGGGACTTCGATCTTAAGAGAATGACTGATGTGGCCAGAGATGGGGATAAGGCTCCATCTACCCAAGACAAGACGCTGGTCCCCACATCTCCTGGATGCTGGCACAGGCTTCCCTGGAGGGGACGGGGAAGGCAGAGCCTGGAAAGCACCTGGTAGGGAACCCCCCCAACCCTGTCAAAGGTAGAAGCAATTTCTCGGTCTACTCCCGGTACTCCCAAAGTCACTGAGCTGGGGCAGATGCTCAGCAGAGTGGGGAGCAGGGGGATGAGGGAGTCTGGAAGGGGAGACAGAGGAGATGCTGCAGGCAGGGTGAGGCCAAGGCATTGCTGTGGGTCATTATCCCACCACAGGGTGCTCCCCAAAGACGCACTGCACCTTCCAGCCCCTGGGCTCTTTCTCATGCTAGCCCCTCTGCTTGGACTGACTCCTCTCGCCCTAGGTCTACCATCTTGGCCTGCTGAAAACTCCATCCACCCGAAGGGAAGAACCTCCCTCCTCCCACCTGCAAGGCCCCATTCAATTTGTGCCTCAGCTAAGAAGCTTTTCCAGACAGCCCTTGATATACACACATCAAGAATGTCCATCCCCATCCAGCTCACCCCCACCACAACCCCTAGGGGCCCCAAGGGGCCCTGGGCCCTGGTGGAGGGTGTTCTTGTGTCAGGAACTTCTTGGTGCCTGAGCACATCCGCTGCCTAGTCTGAGCCCTCCAAGGGTAGGTAGGCTCTGTGTCTCCTTCCCCTCTTGCCTCCAGCCCTTGTCTCCTCTTTCCCACCCCATCCCACCCCACCCACACACAGCCACACCAGAGCAGGCATGTCAGGGGTGACCTGGACAAACTCAGCCCTGTGGCCCAACCAACTCAGCTGCCCTCCTGCCACCCTATGAAAATCCTGGCCTCAGGATCACCACCGTTTCCGGAGGCCCTTCTGGATAAGGAACTCTGGAGTTGGCTCAGCATGACCACTTGTGCCAGAACTCCTCAGAAGCCGCAGGGAAGAGGCACGTCATGGGAGGCTGGGTGCCTGAGGGACGGAGCTTCCCAGGGGATCACCTCTAGAGTGTACACTGGGCTGCGTCCAGCAAGAGTGTTGGGGCCTCAAGGCAAGCCCAAGGACTGTCATGCTCTTCCCAGATGTCCTGGCCAGTGAGTTGATAAAAGGAATGCAAATAGGGGCTGAGTGGGGCCCCAGGGAGCACCAGGACCTTCAGTGGCCTAGCCAGGACTCTGGCCCTGCCTTGAACTGTCAGCCCAAGGGAGGGGAAGCAGAATCAGCTCCTGCGGCTACAGCCCTTGGGGTCCAGCCCTGAGCCCAGCACCATCTTTGTCTGCCTGGGCCTTGGGACCAGTGTTCAGATAGGTCTCAGCCAAGGCACAGGGAGCTAAGGACCCAGCCCCTCCATCCCAGCTGCCAGGCAGTGATGGTCATCGCCAGGTTGAATGGGAGCCCCACAGGAACCCATGCTGTCTGACTTGCCAGTGGGTCTATAGGAAAAAGGGACACCCATAGGGTAGACCCCAGGCCCCAGTGGGTATGGAAGACAAAAGTACATGAGCCAGAGCAATTTAAATTTCCCACCTTCACTCCCCATCCCTGCCCCAGCTCTGTCTCTGAGACCCTGAATCTCCTCCACTGTTATCTCAGGGGTCCTCCCCAGGGATTGGGACCTCTTTTCCAGGGACCTGAGTAACCAAGGTCTTGGGATCAGGGGAAACGGGAGGAGCAGGCAGCGAAACGGGGAAGTTATGGCCCCAAACCAGCGTTGGGCCCAGGAGGAGAAAGAGCTTGCTCACTCCCACACAGGCAGGGCACAGCTCCAGAATCCTTGGCAGGGCTGGGGTCTGGACCCCCTCTGGGGTCCAGCCTTGGAGGAACAGAAGCCTGCTCACACCTGCACCCCCTGGCCCTGCAGCTGGAGCACCCGTGCACGCAGGGCGCTGATCCCACTGAGGAGGGCTTCTCGATGTTCAGCCGAAGAGATGCCCAAGCTGACCAGGTCCCTGGAACAAGGGCTGGTCAGACCAGACTTGCTCAGCCCCATCTGCTGCTCCTCCCACACAGGTCCTCTGCTCTCCCTCCCTTCCTCTGAACAGGGGAGGCCCCAGAATCAGGACAGGCTAGGGCTTCTTCCCATATAGGCAGGGGCAGGGACCCTGGGTTTCCCAAGCCCCAGGCCTTGACCTTGATTCCTTAGACTCACTGGGCAGTCATCTTGGTCACGGCCTCCAGGCTTCCGTAGCCAGCTGCAGTGAAGCTGTCCTTATAGCGGCACAGGTCCAGGGCCTCCAGCCACGCACCCACAGAGCCAAAAGAGGGGAAGGTGGAGAAGGCACGGTCCGCCAGGGGGGTAGGAGGCCTGGGGATCAGAGGAGCTGTGGCCAATCGACAGCTGGGATCCCCTGAGGAAAGGCCAGCTGGGAAAGACAGGGGAAAGGAAGGGCAACCAAGCCCTAGGGCTACACCTGGCTCACATGGGGTCCTATGCATTCCCAGAGAGGTGAAGCTTGCAAGACACTCAGGCAGGTGGAGAGCCGAGCCAGTTAAAGGTACTAGGAGTATCTGGAACAATCCTGGGTTAGGATATATATACCTAGGACAGGATGGGAGGTGACCCGTGTTTGGAACAACTAATATTAATTTCACTTATTTTATTTACTGGAACTGCAAATTTCTTAGAACTATTACTATATATATTTATCCAGTCAGTGGTCATTGTACCTGGGATATGGGGGGCAAAATCCAGGACAAGTAGAAGAGACTAAGACAGATGTGGGGTGAGAGGTACCTGAGGCAGGTGAGAGTAACAAATCTATCTGGGAGAAGTGGTGAGCAGCTGTACATGGATAGGTGGGGGAGTACAGCTGGGGGAGGTGTACTTGGGACACGTGGGGAGGCCATTCATGGACAGTGAGAGGATGGCTGAATCTGGTTTGGTTGGGGACAGATAGAAATGTACCTGGGACAGGTGGTTGTAGCACACTTCGGAGGTTCTGGATCCTGCACCATCTTACTCAGGATGCTGTGGATCTGGGAGAACCTGGGCCGCTCACCTGGGTCCTTCTGCCAGCAGTCAAGCATCAGTCGGTGTAGTGGGGAGGGACAGTTCCTGGGGGGTGGCAGCCGGAAGCCATCCTCCACAGCCTTGATGACCTGGGCCGTGGGGGACATCAAGCAGAGAGGAGGCTTTAGGTCCCCCCAACACACACATACACACCCCCCAACCCAAGAAGGACTCAGGTAATGGCCAGGTAGGATCGGATGTAGACAGAGAAGAGGAGCCTGGAGCTAGGAGGTCAAGCGTTAATGGGCAGAGGTCAGGGAGCTGGTGCCTGAGGTCAGAGGGAAAGAGTATCTGAAGTTAAGGAGCTGGAGCCACAGGTCACTCACATCTTGGCCAGACATGTCCCAGTAGGGCCGCTCCCCAAAGGCCATCACCTCCCACATGACGACGCCAAAGCTCCACACATCACTGGCAGAGCTGAAGTGGCCAAACTGAAGCGTCTCAGGGGCAGCCCACAGCGCCGGGCTCCGGCCACTCTGTACAGCAGGCAGGTCAGGGCAGGGAGGAGATGAGTCATGCGCACCCCACAGAGCCCCAGCTCCAGCCCCCCCTGTCACCCCCAGGCAACCCCGACTCCCAGCTTCACGGGGAAGGCATGCCCGCTGACCACAGGGTGGTGTCCACTCTGGCGTTTATTCGGGACCAACTGGGTGGAGGGGCAGGGTGGGGGAGTGACTGTGACACAGCAGGGAAAGAGCAGAAGTGGGAAGCGAGGGACTCCAGGGCAGCGTGACGGGCAACAGGGCAACAGGCAGCCCAGCTGGGGAAGGGAACCCTCACCATGGTGGTGTAGACAGCTTCTGCTCGGTCCCGGGGCCCCCGCCCAAAGCCAGAGATCTTGCAGACGAGGCCATTGCTGATGAGCACGCAGCGGGCTGCCAGGCCCCGGTGGACGTAGCCCATCTCTGACAGATACTTCATGGCTGACGCCAACCCAGGCAGCAACCCCATCAGCTGCCCGGCTGCCAGCTGCCCCTCATGCCTCTGTGCGGGCAAGGAGGGGATAGAGGCAGGGGCTGTGCACTCACATCCTCTGGTGTGGTATGACACCAGAGAAGTCACATAGCCTCTGTGGGATTCAGTTTACCCTGTGAACACCAGGGCAGCCTGCTAGTGGGAATGATACTAATTCCAAGCCCCACCAAAGGGAAAAATGAGGGACCAAGAATAATGTGGTCATCAGTACCCACCCCCACAACCAGGGCCCAGGCCACTCACCCTGAGGAAGCCATCCAGGGCCCCGTGGCTCATGTACTCAGTGACAATCATCAGGGTGCTTCCTATGCCCAGGGATGGGAACACACACATGCTCGGGTGCCTGCTCCACCCTGTGTGTGTGCACGTCCCCCCACTGGAGCCCCAGACTGCATCTACATAGCCAGAACCAAGGCCAAGCTCCCCAGTCTTGCCACCTCCTGCCCGGCCCAGAATCCCCTGTGCCAAGGAACAAAAGAGGAGGCATCTGTAGGGGGACAAAGGCCAAGGTCAGGAGCTGCAAGTTTGCTAAGAAAGATCACCCCAGGTCAATGTGACCCACCCTTCAGGGTGTCACTACACGTCAGAACGGTCATCCCGGGTCAGAGTGGCCACTCCAGGAGAGGGCCCCCTGAGTTGGTGAAAGCACGCTGAGGCCCCTGGCTGGGGCTCCCCCCATGGCTAAGGGAACAGCCTGGAGGTACAGGAGCACCCCCTCCCACCCTGCCATTTCCACACCCATCCCTGTGGGCCAGGCAGCAGGAAGTGCAGCACCTACCTCGGGTGACGACACCCTCCAGCCGCACGATGTGGCTATGGTCAAACTGGCCCAGGGTGAGGGCCTCGGCCAGGAAGCTGAGCCTCTGCGAGTCGGAGCAGCCATCCCTCAGCGTGTGCACAGCCACGGGCAGCTCCTGGCGGCCGGGGAGCTGCAGGCGGCCACAGCACACCTCTCCAAACCGCCCTTTAGGGAAACAGCACCTCAGACACCCCCTGGAGGCCACCTCCCTGGCCAACCAGGCAGGCTGAGCCAATGAGAAAGCGACTCTGGATCATGGGCTGTTTCTGGCCTGGGACTCAGAGCTCCTGAGTTCAAATCCTGATAAACTGAGTATAACAGCAGGGTGACTTGGGGCTCCACCTCTTTCCCTGTCTTGGACTCAGTTTCCTTCTCTGTGAAATAAGGATTCCTCCCTGCCCACCTCAGCGGGAGGTTTCCAAGCCTCAAAGAGAGGACATTGCACATGCCAGCACATCAAAGGCCATTAAACCCAGTGTGACCCAGGACAGATGACAATGACATCTATTCTGCCCCACTGCCCCTTTCTGGCTTCTGTCCAGAGGGTCTGGCAGCAGTGTCAGGGCATAGTGTCAGGCCTCTGAACAAAGTAGTTGCCTTCTCTGAGCACAGGAGGCTGAGGGTTTACAGACAGGGAGAAAGGCAAGCAGGAGAGTGACCCTTAGAGGGTCACTATGGGTCACCTACTGTGGGTAGGGTCACCTACTGTGGGTAGGGTCACCTACTATGGGCATGCCCTGTGCTGAGTCCTGTGAAATCCACACATCAGCTTCCTATAAGGTAGATCTCATCCCTATTTTGCAGATGAGAAACTGAGGCTCAGAGCAGAGGAGGGATGCGCCCCTGGTCAGTCGGTCAGTAGTAGAGCCAGAACTAGAATTCAGGTGTGTCTGGTCCCCAAGCTTGCAAAGGCCCTCCCCACTGCTCCAAGAAGGCTGGAGACTAAACTGCCAGTGGCAGTTTGCAGAGGTCAACCCCGAAAGGGCCTGAATGGAGAATTCTCAGAGTGACCTTGAGGACCTGGAGAGGTTAGAAAGGCAGAGCCACAAACCCCTGTGGCATCCCCTTCCCTGGAATATGGTGGGTGAGCGATTTCCCGGGTGGAGGTCCGGCTTGGTGTGGAGGCGGGGTTTCTAGACACGGGGCGGGGACTTGGGTGGAGGCGGGCTTAGAAAGTAGAGGTGGGGAAGGCATGGAGGCGTGGCTGGGGCTGGGGCGTGGCTTGTGGCATGGGTGGGGCCTAGACGCGGGGCTTCCGGTGGAGACAAGGCTTCCTGAATGCCCATCTTGCCTGTTCCGAGGCTCCTATCCAGCGTGACGCTCTTCGCATCCAGCTCCTTGGCAAACAGATGCACAGCCTGCAGCGGGTCCCCACAGCTCTGGGGGTCCAGGAACGTGCGACGTGTTGGAACTTTGACTGGGAATGCAGGGAGAGAAAGAGATGAGCCTGAGGAAAGGGGCCTCCATCGCTGGGGTGGGAGAGGGGGGTTATGCAACTGCAGCAAGGAAGAGAGATGAGGAGTGAGGTAAGGGGAGGCCACCCCTCCCCAGCCAGGCCAGAACACTCACAGTGGAAATACAGCTCCTCTTCATCGTGGGTGCCCCCACCTCCTTTGCCATAGCTGCAGGGCCTGGGGGAGGGGTTGTGTGTGCAGTCATTCTTTCAGCCAAGACCCCCCAGCCCTTCCTATTTCACCAGCACCAAGGGTGGTACCTCTTTGTCCCTTCAAAAAACAAGGTCTGTGCCCCCAGGGAGAGACCTTCTTATCCTGCTGGTTTGAAAGCATCTCCATAGTTTGACAACCTCCTCCCCATAGCACACATACCACCCCAGCCCCAGACCTAACCCCTTGCCACCATCAACATTCCTAATTGTTTTCACTTTGAGACACAATGAAAATTCTTGCAACTCCAGAAGCACCCAAATCCACACCTCTGACTTTAAGCCCAAGGTGCCCCCGCCCACAGTTTGGTGAAAGAGAATGGATAAAACAGACCTTGCACTCAGGGGCAGCTTCTGGTCTAGTCAGGAAAACTAACAGGGAGAGTTAACCACAAGCCTACTTGCAGGTACCAGCAAACAAGAAGGGCAGTGCACTGTGGGAACACATGACCTGGTCCAGGGCCATCAAGGATGGCTTTCTGAGACAGAGGCAGCTGTGGACCAGAGGACTGCATCAGAATCAACAAAGCCACATGCTGGCATTGGAGCCCCCTAAGGCAGAGCCTTGCTGGCCCAGATAAAAACTTTGGCTTTTGAAGAGATCCAATCAAGACGGCAGAATAGATGGTCCACAGCATCACTCTCTCCCACAAATCAACCAATTTACAATTATAAAAATGTAACATCAGCCAAGCCAGGGCCGCTGGAGCTCAGGGGAAGGGGAGGAGAGACCTATGGAATTCATGAAGGCCGGAGAAACTATGATGGCAGAAAGAAGAAGCTGCTTTGAGCGTTTCAGGCCGTGGCTGCTTTAAGGCTCGAGCTGATGAGCGCATGGAGCAGGAACCAGCAGAAGCCGCAGCTGTGCCCTCCAGATGGAGTTGCTTGGAGGCAGCAGGAGAGAAGAGGGCCTTGGTGGCCCACAAGACAGCAAGACCACTAACAGGGTTCCCACGGACCCACGCAGGAGCGAGGAGCCAGAACAACTGAGAAAAGGGAGCCATTCAGAGGCCAGTGAGTCATTGCAAGGGACCAGAGCAGGGCCCGTCGCATGGGAAGTGTTTGGAGCACGGGCAGTGGGGGAGACAGGCCCACCAGGCGAACACTGGGACACAGCAAGGACAGCTGATCTGCCCCCCAGTCAGCACAGGACCACTCAGCGGAGACTGGTCAGGAATGCAGGATTGCATGGGGTGCAGTTTGATGAAAAAACTCAGGCCCAGATCAGAGATTCTACAGAACACAGATCCACCGGGTCTCTGGACAGCTGGAAGTACCTATAAGGTCAACCATTAAACCCTGAGCTGCACAAAAAGCCTTCCCTAGGGAAACAGCAGCAAAGTAGCAATTTAAACAACCACACAGCTCAAGTACTGGTTCCCACAGGAAGTTCCCCCGTGTTAGAAGCAAAGGACAAAAAATTAGTTCCGGGCCAGGCACACCGCCAGCACCTTGGGGCCTGCCTGAGAACTGGAGGCTTGGATTGGGGGACTGGAGGCCAAGGCCACCTGCCG